ATGTTGGATGTCCTCCAGCCAGGAAATAAAGAAATAAGACAGACTCTATTCGACTTGGTGCATCTACTAATGCACACTAAAGCTCACAGTGTGCACTGAAATCACAGTACACAATTTCAGCACAGGAAAGCAGTGTGTACAACTGAAACTAGGGCTGGAGTTTAGTTTTAAAGAAAACACTGAAAAATTCATATAAATTATACTCCTGTATTTCATTAAAAATTCTTGTTTAAAAGATAAACAGTAGCATTAAAAATAAAACAAGTGTGTGTGTATAATATATATATATATTTAATGTGTGTATGTATATATATATATATATGTGTGTGTGTGTGTATGTATATATATGTGTGTGTGTGTGTATATGTGTGTGTATATATATATATATGTGTGTGTGTGTGTATACACACACACACACACTATATTGCCAAAAGTATTGGGAAGCCTGCTTTTACACACAAGTGAACTTAAATGGCATCACAATCTAAAGGTGGGAATACACGGTTTGAAAATCAACCAATCGATCATCCAACAACCAAGAGGCGTTCATTTGTTGGTCGAAATTGTGGCCCACATTAACCAATCTAAAAAATCGTTCCAGCAATACAGTGTTGACGTCTTCCGTAAAAGTGGAAGTGATCCGGTGTACGTGCAGACACGCCCTTCCGGCCAGAACGAGCGATATACATAACAATTAACAGCAATGAATATAATATTTATTACATTATCTATATACATAAATAGTGATATATAAAATATAATATGCAGAATTCTGGTTTCATTATCTCATTAGGCCAATCTACTTTTAACATTTGGATTTTTCGTTCGTGTTTACGAAGATTCCTTGGACATAAACATCCGAGTCATCTTCTGTTTCACCTCATGCTTGATAGATTTTTTTCATAAGACCGTCATACCACCGCATAGAAAATCAGTCGTTCGTGTGCGAAACGACATTTTTCACTGTTGTTCAACCGGATTGTTTGGTTCATAATATCGTTATCGGTTAAAACATCCTGCTCATCAAGGAAGAGAAAATCGTTCGATCAGTGGTTCTGCAAAATTGTACGATTTTATCATGTGTATGGGGCATTAGTCCGTAGGGTTCAATATTGAGTTGGCCCACCCTTTGCGGCCATAACAGCTTCAACTCTTCTGGGAAGGTTGTCCACAAGGTTTAGGAGTGTGTCTATGGGAATGTTTAACCATTCTTCCAGAAGTACATTTGTGAGGTCAGGCACTGATGTCGGACAAGAAGGCCTGGCTTACAGTCTCCACTCTAATTCATCCCAAAGGTGTTCTATCGGGTTCAGGTCAGGACTCTGTGCAGGCCAGTCAAGTTCCTCCACCCCAAACTCGCTCATCCATGTCTTTATGGACTTTGCTTTGTGCACTGGTGCAAGATATGAATATATGGGACAAAAGCCGTGACACTGTAATGGACAAAGCGGCTCCAAGAAAAACTGATGCAGGTGGTGCAGAAAGACCTGAAGCAGGTGCTATCTTCTCTGCTAATGTGGTACACACCATTTCTGATATTATAATGGTGCAGAAAGCTTAGTTAATTCTGATGGCAAAAGCTGTAGTGCTGTATTTAACCCTAAAGAGTATCCAAAACTGAAATTCCTATTGCAAAGTGTGCCTAAAATTTGACTTGTATCTAATATAATTTTCTTGAGATTTATGCTTTAGATTTACTAAAAACCATATAATAGGAGGTCAAACCCAAACAACACTTTCAGTTGTATCCAATCTGGCAGGCCCTTGCACTACACAGTTGAAGGTAAATCTAAAGGAAATTGGACAGAAAATGATATAGTATATGACCAGCCTTAGTGTAGACTTCTAAGAAAATCAGTGAGTCAATCATAAGAGCAGGAAATTACATTCCAGGGAGTGTTCTGTACACCATTGCTGTATAGAATGCCTCCAGGTTTCCGTTTGCATTAAATGTTACAGAAAATTACAATGACTGCAGATTGAAAAGTAATGGTAATTGTTAACATTCAGTTACAATATAACATGTCAACAATTTTATATGCTATGTTATGTTTTTTTTATTTGCTATAATTTTTTCCAAAGAAGCGGAGTTATTCTTTAAATCTGTCAATTGTTTTCTGTGCTCCTAAATTTTGATTAGTTAATCTGTGTTTTCCACTTATTTCATAAAAACAATATTCAGGATCTGAAATTCTTTACCAACTTCTCACAATGGTTTTTACACCCTATAGTAAATATAATAATGATGGTTATACTGCTGACATCAATGCAGCACTTTGGTTCCTAGCAGTGTTTAAATTGAGCAATTACACTATTTTTGGAGCTGTAAAGGAGATTTATTTTCGGTACCAGATATGTAGGTGTGTTGTATGACGACAACATCAATCAGATCACAAACCAGTCTGAGAGGGCTGGGCTGCCATTGCGCTATGATCCTTGCTTCATGATTGACAGGTCCTGTGCAGCAGAGAAAACGTATGTCATATGAGGCAATGATACTAGAATGAAATTCACTGTTTCAAAAGTATTGTTAGAAGTCATAGATGGTGACGCATATTACACCTTTCTAGCAACTTGCAGTTTTATTGTATGTGTGCTTAAATAGAATAGCTGGGAAGAATGTGTTTCATACAACTCCCAGTGCTTTGTTTAAAATATATAGATGTAGAAGGTCACGGTACACAGCAGCTATAAAGACAGCTAATTGGTAGAATTCACATAAGCCGTGCCCAACAGATTTTCAATGGAGAGTCATAGACATAACACTACTTTAAGTGTCCTACAGAAAGACAAAGCTAACATCCCTAATGTCAGTGTGACTGATGTAGTATCAGGTCACTCCGCTCATAAGAAGTCTTAGAGGGTATCCAAAACATAAGAACAAAAATATATAGTATTGCAGTTTACCAGACCTTAGATGTGGTGGCTGCATTCATTCTTTTTTTCTTTCATGTTTTTTCCTTTATTTTAACATGGTAATCCTGCAATTAACTCAATCCTTTCCTATGGTGACAACTGAGCACTACATAACACTTTGCGCTCAACTGTATGTAGTCCTAACAAACGTTTGCATACACTTGGAGAATCGGTAATATACAGTAACATTTTTTTTTAACAGTTGCGTTTATTGAAATTGTACAAAAGTATAACAAATCAAGGTACATAAAACAAACAAGCTTACAGCAGTCAGTAGATATACAATACACATGAGATTCCAATACTAAAGTACCTATAGAGTCAACTAGTCATCCTGAGTCAGATTGGGAGAGACCAATATAATGCACTGTAAATAGTCATCTCTCACCAAAAAAGATGTAGGAAAAAGATCTAATGGCACGAGCTGGAGTGGCAAAGAAAAGAATGAAAGGGGGGGTGAGGGGAAGAGAGAGAAAAAGGGGGGGGGGGGTAGGGAAGGAAAGGGGGAGGGAAAGGAAGGGGCAAAGAGGAAAAGCAAACCTTGAATATAAACAATAGCCAATCAGATAATCAATACAACTGGACATAACCGCAAGATAAAAAACCCAAGTGTTAGACCCTGAGCCTCCACCCACCCAGTCCATATTCTAACAAATTTAGCTGGACAGTTACGACTCATATAAGTAAGTTTATATAGTGGAAGCGCACTGTTGATTGCTGATTGGACTGTTTCCATTTCAACTAAATTTCCCTTCTAGGATAATAGACAGCACAGAAGATGAATAATCTATTATGCTTAGATGTCTCTATGAGGGCCAGGAGACCCACCAACATAATCAGTGGATCAATGGGAATAGACAATTGACTAACAGCGGTAATAGGGGAGAATCTTAGAGCACTCCCAAAACATATGGTGAAACGTGCCAACCTCCACATCACAGTGAGGACAGGTCACCGATCTATCAGGATATATCACAGCCAATCGTCGCGGGGTATAATACACTCTATGGATAAATTTTAGCTGTATGACGCAGTCATACAGTACCATTTTTAAAAAAAACATGAGTGAGCAGGAAAAACACATTTCTTTTATATCTTATAGGATTCATATTCGAATGTAGGTCATAACAGATTGGCACAATCATATAACAAAACATGGCAACAAATGAAATGATTCCTGTTCAAAAGTCTGCATCCCCTTAGTTCTTAATACTGTGTATTGCCCCCTTTAGCGTCAATGACATCGGGTACTCTTATGCATAGTTGTCTGAGGCTTGATGATATTAAGGTCAAGAGACTGTGATGGCCACTCCAGAACCTTACCTTTTTCTGTAGTAACCACTGGAAGATCAACTTGGCCTTGTGCTTAAAGCCATTGTTGTGCTGGAAAGTCCATGAGCATCCCATGCACAGCTTCTGTGTAGAAGAATGCAAATTGTCTGCCAGTATTTTCTAACATGCTGCATTTATCTTGCCATCAATTTTCACTTGATTCCCTGTGTCTTTAGAGCTCACACACCGCTAAAACATCCAGAAGTCACCAACATGCTTCGCAATGGGGATGGTATTCTTGTTGCTATGAGCCTTGCTGATCCTTCTCCAAACATAGTGCTTTTGTTTGTGACCATAAAGCTCAATTTTGGTCTCATCACTCCAGATAGCAGTGTGGCAAAAAGCTGTGAGGCATGTCGAGGTGTTACCAGGCACATTGTAACTGCTTTTTTGTGGCATTGGCGCAGTAAAGTCCTCTTAATGGCAACTCGATCATGTAGCTCATTTTTATTCAAGAATCATATTGTGCTCCCTGAAACAACCACATCATCTTTTTCCAGAGCAGCCTGTGTTTCTCATGAGGTTACCTGTTATTTTATCTTTATATCCCAAACAATTCCTCAGGCAGTTGTGGCTGCAATCTTGGCTTGGTGTCAAGAGAACCCCAAATTTTCTACTTCCTAACAAGTGATTGAACAGTATTGACTGGCATATTCAAGGCTTTGGATATCTTTTTATATCCTTTTCCACCTATACAAAGTTTCATTACCTTAACCTCCCTGGCGGTATTCCCGAGTGTAGCTCGGGGTAAAATTTCAGTACCACAAGCGGTAACCCCGAGCTACACTCGGGCTTACCATGCGGCGTTGCTCAGGGAGTCCCTGCAGCGCTTACCTTGTTCTTCGCTCTTGTGATGTGTCCCCTGCAGCGTCCCCGGCAATCTCCTCCGGCCGATGCCGGCATCCGGCTTCCGTGTTCCTGTCCCTGTGACGTCGGGACGTACGGGCGCCGGAACCGGCGGCAAATTTAAAAATTTTAAATGTCATTTTTTTTTCTAAACGAATATTACATAGTAAAACATTACTGTTTCAAACCAATTCACATACATTTTGTCCCTAGTGCTTTGTCCTGTGCCCTGCCTGCATTTTGATTGTTCTTTCTCCCTGGAAACTTAGAAAAGTCCATGGCGCCCAAAAAGTGTCCTTTTAGGTCAAAAGCGGTTTTAGACCGCTAGAGCAGCTAGAGAACAGCGATAGTAAATCAGAACCACTTGCAGAATTGAGTGATAATGATACATGGGGAAATTTGTCATCAGAAAATGAAAATGATTCTGCGACTGAGCTCAGCAATGTGCGAACTTGGCGCTATATTTCAAATTTAAGTGTTATTGGTTTGATTATATTATTGAATTAAATTTATTAAATTATAATTTAGGATTTCGTGTTTCAAGTTTTATCATATCCGGAATGTTTACTAGACTCTTGTTCGGATAGATTTTAGTGAGTTATTCCTAAAATTTACAGCCTACAATTAAAAAAAATACATATTTCCATGCAAAATAATGGTACCGCTTTCAGCACCAAAAATCTGAAATAATCATACCGCCAGGGAGGTTAATGAAACTGTCAAAAGACCTATGCATGTCTTTTGACAATCCTCTTCTGCTCTCCATGGCTCAGTACATCCATGTGAGAGCTAGTAAACTCATTGACTATTTATACACAAACACTAATTGCAATTTAAAAGCCACAGATGTGGGAAATTAACCTTTAATTGCCATTTTAACCTGTGTGTGTCACCTTGTGTGTCTGTACCAAACATTCCAGGGTATGTAAATTTTTGATCAGGGCCATTTGGGTGATTCCTGTTGTTATCAGGAGAGGGGATTGGGAGGATTATCAGGATTGTGCCAGGAGAGGGGATTGGGAGGGATTTGTGTTCGGAGAGGGGGAATGGGGGGGGTTGAGCTAGGAGGAAGATTTGGGTGTGGAGGAAAGATTTGTGCTGGGAAGGGTAATTTGGACAGGGTTGTGCTTGGAGGAGGGATTTGGGGGAGAGGATATGGGCTAGGGTGGATCATTTTATGAGAAAGGAGGTGTGCTAGGAGGGGTGAATTTTTTTTTTTTTTGGGGGGGGGGGGTGCAAGTAAAGTAGCTGATCTTGTCTAGGGCGCAAAATAGACTAGCAGCAGCCCTGGCTGTGTTCTACATTTCTAGAAAACTTTGCATAAAAAAACGCAGTTATTTACCTGTTAACTGTATTTCCAGGAATCTTCTAGGACAGCTCCATATGAGAGATAGGCTCCTCCCAGGAAACACCCGCTCCACCTTTTTCTCCTATAAGTAGCCTCTCTCCCAGGGGGACCCTCAGTACAGGAATATGACCGAAGGCCTAAGAGAAAGCATAAAAAAATGGTAGTAGAAAACAATATATCACTGGTTCATTACATGATGGCACATCAGCATATAAGTACACAGTAATCGGGAGGGAGTTACGCTGTCCTAGAAGATTCCTGGAAATACAGTTAACAGGTAAATAACTGCGTTTTCCCAAGTCATCTTCTAGGACAGCTCCACATGAGGTCTGAATAAGAATACTTACATTAGGGCGGGGCCTTTGCTTGCAGGACCTTCCTGCCAAAGCCTGTTCCTTGTTGCCAATCAGGTCTAATCGGTAGTGTCTGGCAAAGGTGGTAAAGCTGGACCACGTTGCGGCTTTGCAGATCTGTCCAGGGGAGGCCCCGGCCTTTTCTGCCTAGGAGGCTGCGGTGGCCCTGGTTGAATGCGCCTTTAAGCCAGTGGAGGTGCCAGAGACGTAGTTTTGTATCCTGAGATGGCCTCTCTTATCCATTTTGCAATGGTGCCTTTTGGAGGCATTGTATCTCTTCTTTGGGCCCTGGAACAAGATGGAGAGACTGGACGAGCGTCTCCATGTTTTTGTGCGCTCGATGTACGCAATTAAACATCTCCTTACATCAATTTTGTTGTAGTCACCTTCTTTTGCCTTGCTTGGGTTTCCATCAAGGGATGGTATTACTATTTCTTGTGATCTGTGAAAATGCGATGCGACCTTTGGTAGAAATGCCGGATCCGTGCGGAGGATGATTGTCAAAAGGATCGTGCAGTATGGTTCTATTACCGACAGAGCTTGCAATTCACTGACTATACTGCGGGCGGAGACTAGTACTATAAGGAGGGTGTTCTTAAGGGTTAAATGCCTGAGAGAACATTCCTCAAAGGGTTCAAATTGTTCTTGCTGAAGACTCTTTAGAACTGTGCCCAGGTCCCATATAGGGTATTTTGGTATGGACAAAGCTTGGCGTCTAGAGATAGCCCTCAGGAATCTGATTACTAAGGGATCTTCTGCCAATCTTCGCTCCAGAAAGTTTGACAGAGCGGTTACTTGCACCTTAAGAGTATTGGCGGCCAGGTTCTTGTCTGCCCCGGCTTGAAGGAATTCAAGTACTGTATTTAGGATGGGGACCCCCGACGACTCGTTCCTGCTTCTCCAGAAAGAAAATTTCTTCCAGATTTTATCATATAATATTATTATTACACAGTATTTATATAGCGCCAACAGTTTGCTCAGCGCTGTACATTACAATGGGAGACAATACATGGGATAGTACAGTAACAATACAATAAAATACACAAGGGGTTCGAGGGCCCTGCTCCTTGGAGCTTACAATCTAGGAGGGAGGGGAGAGTGGTACAGGAGGAAGTAGCTGTGGGGAGAGCGGAGGAGATCAGCAGTTAGGTGAGGGCGGGGTAGGCTTCTCTGAAGAGATGGGTTTTCAGGGTGCACCTAAAGGTGAGGAGGGTAGGTGACAGTCTGATGGATTGGGGTGGTGAGTTCCAGAGGATGGGGGAAGCCCTGGAGATGTCCTGGAGACGGACATGGGAGGAGGAGACCAGGGAACTGGAAAGTAGGAGGTCTTGTGAGGAGCAGAGAGTGCATTTTGGGAGGTAGATGGATATCAGGTCAGTGATGTAGTTTGGGGCAGTGTTATGAACAGCTTTGTACGTCAATATTAGTATTTTGAATTTTATGCGTTGGGCAATCGGAAGCCAATGGAGGGATTGGCAGAGGGGGTTGGCGGATATGGAGCAGTTGGTAAGGTGGATGAGTCTGGCCGCAGAATTCAGGATAGACTGAAGCGGGGATAACCTGTGTTGGGGTAGGCCGGTGAGGAGGGAGTTACAATAGTTAAGTCGTGATATGAGAAGGGAGTGAATGAGTATGGTGTTTGTCGATCTAAGATGGTGACCACTCTTTCTGATAACCCTTTCCCAGCTAGCCTGTTCCGCTCAGAAGCCAAGCTGTCAGGGATAGTTTTTCTGGGTGTGGGTGTAGCACTCCCCCCTGGGCGAGCAAGTTGTGCGTGGGTGGTCATCCATGGGTCCGTTAGGCTCAGTTCCATCAGCCAGGAGAACTTGGGCCAAAATGGAGCAATTAGGATGATTCTGGCTTGAGATGACTGTATCTTCTGTATCACCCTTGGTGACAATCTGAACGGTGGGAAAGCATAGAGGAGGTTTTCTTCCCATTGTTGGGCTAGTGTGTTTTGTCCCTGGGGTCCTTTTGCAGGCAGAAGTACTTCTCTAGTTTTGCGTTTTTCCTGTTGGCGAAGAGGTCTATGGAGAGAGTACCCCATCTGGTGCAGATTTTGTCGAATGCTGTATGGCTGAGGCACCACTCTGTCTGGATGACTTCTTCCCGGCTCAACTGGTCCGCCAGCTGATTTAGATCCCCTTTCAAATGCAACACCGTGATGGATTTTAGGTTCCTTTCTGCCCAGCTCAGGAGGGTTTCCGCCAGTTCCATCAGTCTCGGGGACCTCGTGCCCCCCTGCCTGTTTAAGTATGCGACTGCCGTTGTATTGTCGGACAAGATCTGAACCTCTTTCCCTACTATCTTCTTCTGAAAAGCTGTGAAAGCTTTGAAGATTGCCAATAATTCTTTGAAGTTTGACAACCTCCCCGAGATCTCTGTGTCCCACTTGCCCTGGGCCAGGCAGTCCTCCATATGCGCACCCCACCCCCACATACTTGCATCTGTGGTGATTCTTACTGGGTTGACTTGCTTCCACTTCCTTCCTGCTTCCAATGTGTGGATATTCCCCCACCATCTTAGTGATTCTCTGCCTTTGTGTGTGAGGCGGATACTGGAATCTAGGGATGCTTGGCTGCCATCCCAGTGGGGGAGGATGTGGTTCTGCAACACTCTGGAGTGTAGCTGTGCCCATTGTACCCCCGGTATGTGCGGCTGTCATGTGCCCGACAAGCTTCATTGCGTTTCTGACTGTGCAGGTTGCCATACCCCGGAAGGTCTTCGTATCTTGCTGTAGTTTGAGTGCTTTCTCTGTGGTCAGGTATAAGCAAGTATTTGTGGAATCTAGAATGTACCCCAAATACGTGATCCTCCTGGAAGGGACTAGCTGTGATTTCTCCATTAACAACCCTAGGTTTTCTAGGAAGTGTCACGATTGCGGCGTCAGACCCCAGACCTTCTCACACAAACTCGTGACCGAAGGGCTAGCCGATCTAAAACCGCGATGTGACGTGCATAACAATGCCACACTCAGCTGCACCCTGAACAACGATTTTCCAGCTAATGGATACAGATCAATGTATCGGCAGCCTGAGCGATTGTTACTGGGTCAGGTTAATTACGCAATTAACCCTTCACACTGCCACCACCTTCTTTTTGGACAGAGAGGAAACTCGGCGTTATCAGCTATAACACTATAATGATTGAGATCGTCTGTATAAAATGATCCGCAGGCCGGTTATACAGAGGTTTAAACAACCACAGTAGCGCTCTTTAGAGGCATGAATTTGTGAGTTGCAATACAGAGCTGTAGAAACAGTTCAACACTTTCAGAACGATTTATTACTAAAAGGTCAAACTGGAGCAATAAAAATACTGACAGAACAAAGATGTAACTAAGATTATATATATAAATATACAAAGAACCATAGCACAGCAAAGAGATATCAGAGAGAGGTGAAAGGGTTAAAGTACTTGCCAAAGTCCTGGGTTAGCAGATCCAAGTTTCAGAGCACAAGGGTGCTTTGATCTCCCTATGTTACCATGGAAAAATTGGAGAATTCTTCAACTTTATTCCTCTTAGGCCTGACAGCCTGTTTTAAAGTCCCCAG